TCCTGCCAACGTCTTGGAAGGCTATACGGGAAGTTACCAAGTTCATATTAAAACATTCCTAACACCAAAATGCGTTTTTCTCGATGACAATTTAATCAATTACTTTATATACTTATATTATTATATACTATAAAATAAACATTAAATCAAGATGAATACAGAGCTTCATGAATATTTGGTTCAGAACAAACAGTCTAAATTTGTTGATATTAATTTATCAGGTTTGTATAAATTTATGTAAAAGCGTTTCGATATATTTCGAAACCACCAACCCTCGGTCTCTGAATATACGTAGTCTAATGTCATCATCGTGAATTTGTTATCTAACTATCACTTGTATTTTCATTCTGGAAACTGCTTGCCTGATTTACAAACAACATAATTATAATATGGTTGAAATTCCGAGACATACAAATCAGGGGAGTTATAATTTGCTGACCAAAGTTATTAAAGTATGCTGACCAAGCATTTCTGGTTCGAATTTTTCCTTCAAATTGCATATTTGAATAGTTTATATGAATATATAGATGCCACCAGTAAAATTCCGATCCACCCCTTATTGAGAGGGGTAGTTTATTCTTGTAGTTTTTCAAAAACCCTTGCTGACCGAGCATTTCTAATCCGTATTTTTCCATCAAATTACATATTTGGATATCTCATATAGATTTTTAGATGCCACCAGTGGAATTATTTCGATCCACCCCTTCAGAGCGATAGTTTATTCCTGCTGTTTTTTGAAAATCCATGCTGACCGAGCATTTCTGATCTGTATTTTTCCATCAAATCACCATATGAAGGGGTGGATCGAAATAATTTCACTAGTGGCATGTATAAATACATACTTATGTGATATTCAAATATTTAATTCGATGGAAGAATACGAACCAGAAATGCTCGGTCAGCAGGGATTTTTGAAAAACAGCAAGAATAAACTAGCCCCCTGAAGGGGTGGATAGAAATAATTTCACTGGTGGCATCAATATTACTATATGAGATATTCAAATATGTTCAAGATATGAACAACAACAACTGTCTTGAATACAGCATTTGACAAGTGTCTAAGTTTATATTTTAGTAAAAACAGTTTTATTGTATCTTCGTCCCCATCACCTCGACAGTTTACTGGTGAAATACAGAGTGAGAGAATACGATCCCCATCCGTTCATTTGAACCTGAACCTCATCTTCACCTCCCCCTCCCTGCTAGCATACGCATATAGATAGGTGTATATACATGCACACACAAACACGGATATATACATGCTCTAACCGTTCCCCTATTACCCTCGCGATGCGTAAACGATGTCCCCTCGCGACTCGCGCATCGATAGTCGGCGGCAAACGAGGGGCGATGACAGCCGACAGACGCGATTGGTCGGACAACAGAAGGGGGAGGGGCTTGAGTATACGGCGATATGCGCGTCAGTCATCACTTGTCAACAATGCTGGATACCAGACGGCCGAGAGCGATGCAACAGCGGGTCTATCGATGGAGAAAGCATTTCATAGGGGCCAGAAGTATGAATGAGCAACATCTGTATCCAACATGATGGATACTATTTATTTATTATGAAGTTGTGCAGGTTATACTGGTGCACGGTAAAAATGAAAATCCCAAATTGGAAGAAAAAAACTTCAACCGAAGATATCCCATGTTCATAAAGAAATATGTCATCGAACTGATAAATACAAGAAGCTCAAAGTCATTTTGTACAAAATGTTCATAAAATGAACAACAATGGTAGATTTCGGCAGAAAAAACAACTACTTTCCTGGCTTGGAATGATTTTTATTTTAATTATCATGTTATATTGACATAACTTGTTAATTAAGTTTTTTTTTAATTGTTTTATATATATATATATATCATATGTTTATGTATCCCTATTATAAACAAATATGTTTCTTGGGGTAATAAAGGACAACAACAACAATAATGCCACGCAGAACATTGAATTACGTCCCCCCTTGAAATCTATGCATCGACTCGTATATAAACGAGTACTGATACAAGTGATTCTTTTCTGAATGCCTATTGATTTCGATTTAGCCAGGCGACGCTAAACACCTACAGACCGGTTTCGAGCTCTTTGACTCTCATCAGTGCAGGGCAGAGTGTCCAAGAGTCATATTGACTCTGACTTTGACTAGAGCAAAATTTCCTTTTTTGAATAACTAATAAGCATATAGGTACTACTGCGATTATAAGAAAATTATCTTTGATTGTTCTCTGTTGAATAACATCAATCTTTGCTTCAAAGTGAAGTGATGTCTTCGACTTGAGTACCGGTATATTGTCACGCGGCGGTGTTTCAGGTAGATCTTATCTTAATACATGGTTGCACAAAAGAATCGATAAAGGCAAGCGTTTATAGGGAACACCCTTGCAATGTACTCGGATAGCCTGGCGGAAATCAAAGTTGTCAACTCAATGCTTGTTAATTTCATAGTAGTCTGGGACAGCTTAGAAACTCTGAATGAACTTGGCAGTCAGAACATATACCTACATGAGGGTAACGAAGAGCAGATTCACTAGCCCGAGCAGGGGCAAGTAAAGTTCTTAATGGTCCAGAACCCATCTGTGGTATTGCGAAAGCTTCATACAAAAGACAAACATCAAATCATGAATGCTAACTTAATCTCAAGAATGGTGGAACAATTCACCAGGAATATGAGTCAAAGCGAAAGAGTTAAAGAACCATCGCCAATATTCACAGAATCTACTGAGCCATAAACAGTTCAACTAGAATATTAGTGGGACTTCTCACAGGGCATCGTCTAGCTGAACAGGTATTGTCAGGAAGAGGAGGAAACAGCAGTACGCATAGGTACTTTGCGCCGCTGTGAGGGCTTGCCAAGACTATAAGGTTCTCTACGCTCTGTTAAGGGGAAAACCAAAGGCCCAAAGATACACATTGAATCTAAATGGTAGCCTGTGGAGAATCAAAAGAAGGCGGGGCTAGCCAAATAACTCTAAATGATTTCAAGGGCATCAGACACAATAGATCTAAAAAGATCGCAGTGTGGAAACAGAGAGCCAGCGAAGGCCCCATTCTTATCTATAATCTAAGCATATAGCTGATACTACAAATCGAGAATTCTGGCAACTCATTTCAGAGGTAGCAAGTTATCATTGTGCTTGAAGTATTCTTGCTCGTGGTCTCAAAATGAGAAGACTATGAATAAATTATCGAATCCATATTGATGGAAAAAACTGCTACCGAGAGCAAGATTATAATTTTCCATAAGAAAACTAGAAAACATGATATTCTCATCGGGAGCTTATTCAGAATTTATTTTCATTGGGGAGTAAGTACTTAATATTTTCTTCGATAATCGAAACAACTTCATGGCCTTCAAAGAAATCTTTGATGCATCTGATGGGCTCCGTGGCCGAGTTTGTCTATGCGCTGAAATTCGCTAGATAGCCGTTCACGATGCAGAGGTACTGTCGGTTCGAATCCGGCTATCGGCTGAGCATTTTTCTTTAAAATGTGTGATTCATGGTTGTAATCCTGGCAGCACCTCGATGCCCTAGAAGTGGTTCGGATTCCACTATAAGCTGTAGGTCCCGCTCTTCCTAACCCCCCCCGCACAAGTTTCGACTTCTGGGGAGTTGGTTCTCAACTTTGAAGTAGCGATATACAAATCTGATGCTTTGTATGCACCTCGCATGTTATCCTCTCATTTCATGAGTAATTTTGTGTGCACCTACTGATTTGGCCCACTAGGCTCTTTTCGAAAGCTATCACATAACTACGTGACAAGTCTTCATGTTATCGCCGCATTTAGTGGTATGAAGGGTCGTGTGAGGTATATACCACCTAGGAAGGAAAGCAACAAACGGATTACTGGTTCTATACAGTGTGGAAGAGGAAACAGCTGAATACATATTATGTTCATGTTCTTGTCCAGCAAAATATCAGTATCACCAATTCAAAGTCGACCTCAGGAGAATTCCATCCCATTCAACCATGGAGTTTGCGAAAAGAGGTGGATTGTATACGGTGAACTGTTGCATCTATAGGGATGAGATGGAGTTTGTGAAAAGAGGTGGATCGAATACGGTGAACTGTTGCCTCTATAGGGATGAGCTAAACCAGACCCATTATATATATAGAGGTTGCAGTGAAGAAGCAATATCCGCATGGAACCTAACCTATATGGAGTCCCCTCAGGGGCCACAACTTTCTAGTACAGGAATGGTGAACCCGAGGTACCCTATAGCCTAGCCGGATATTCACCAAACTTCAACTTGCCTTGAGTGATACCCTATTCTCTCTTCCTTTTTCAAACTATCCTATCGGCCTTCCTTGCCAAACTTCTCTTTTCCTCTCCCCCTCCAAACCTAACTTCACTATCAAGGGGTGTATGAGGACAGACCACGGCCGGTCGACAGATGAAGCATTTCGAGAATAGATGGGACAATTTGTGGACATCTGTGGCCAAGATGGGGTGATTTGTAGATATCTGTCTATAGGTGCCCAAGGACTGGTCAACGACTGACAAACTAATCCAAGGGAACCCGTTGCGATGGATGAATGGCACCGAGGTGTGGTGTAGCTAACCAGGCCTCTGGGAAACAGGGCGATATCTCAGAGGAAACAGCCTCAGCCCTGTACAGGGAACACCACAGAGCTGGACCAACCTCTTCCCCCGCCACTCGTAAGAGAAGGAAAACATCTACGTAGACGAGAACAGGGATCGAAAGAAGAAGAAGAAGAAGAAGGGAAAAGGGTCTTTCATATTGCAGTGGCCCTTAATAAAAACCATATATGGTAAAATTGATAAGGCATATAAGTGTCGTATATAGGAGACATCGGTCAGACGAGGCTACAAGAGGGGTGGAGTGTTAAGTGGGTATACCCTGGAGTCAGGGGACTCTCACACTATCAAATGGGGGATTTTCCATAAAGGATTTCAACCACCTCGACAAAAAAAACTATATATATATATGGGGTTATGGAGTGGTCACTCACCTTGATGATGCGAGCTGATCACGCTGGCTTTGTTTCCGCTGAGATAGTCCTCTTTGCAGATGAACTTGTTGTCGTCTAACACGTACAGCTCCTCGCCGGTGGACAGTTGCTTCCTGCACACCAGACAGGTGAAACAATTGAGATGGAACACTTTGTCTCTAGCTTTGCGCACTAAGTCACTAGGCGATATACCTTGGCCGCAACCGCCACACTTAGTGCCGTATCTCCTGAAACGAAACAATTAAAGAATTAAAGTGTGTCAAGAAGGCCGCGGAGGTATCTAGATGGAAAAAATCGGAAGACTGAGGTCGGTGTGACCATCGTGATGTGACCGTTTTTATTGGCGGCGGTTTTAACGCGCCGATAGCAATAAATAGCGGTTTGAGGTTGTTTACTTTGGGTTGGAGTTGTCGAGAGTTGCTTTTTGTGGTGTTTATAACCAAAGGATGTAGTTAAATCAATTTTGTGCAAAGACAGTAATCCGTCAACCATTTTCTTCATGCCACAACGAATACAAAATTTATGCGACAAATTTCAGATATGCATAAAATGGTTACATCAATCGTAGAGACAAGGTAACATTCTATATAGTTGTGTTGACTGACCTGATGTGAGATCGATAGCGACACAATCTATATATACTTGATCTTATATTGATCAACTCGACCTATTTGCAGATAATAAACGGTGATCATGATATTGGCAAAGTTTCACTTCATGGAAATGTTATTGAAATCGCCAGCATATAATTTTATAGACAAACTCTGTTAGCGACTAGCAACTAGATGCGCTACTGCTCAGTATGGAATTTGCTTAGATCAGAGCCTATGACAGACATGTGTGAAGACTGGCTCATAGAGTGTTTGGCAGGCAGCCGAATTAAGAGCAAGTGTAACCCTTGTCCACGTCATTTGTGCTCGTGTTTATTGAATTGTGATCATCATATAACAAACTCCAAGATCATACCTATATAAAAGTATTCATCATTCTTGCAATTCTCTCGAGAATTCTCTACACAACACAACGAATTTCCAATAACGAAATCCACCACATCAAAAGGTAGGTTTTTCAGATCTTCCATATTCAATTGGCTAACGAAGGTCATGAAAGAATGAACTGAAAAAGAGCCGAAAATAAGAAATGATATTCATGAAATGAAAAGGAATATAGATTCGAACACAGATTTGAGATCAACTAGGTTAGGTTAGGTTGAACGTGAGTGGGCCTATTGTCAGGCCCTCCACTGCGGCCATTGGCCTATTGTGGCTCACCCTAGGGTTATATTTCTCCCTGTATATCCAATTTCTTAACGAAATTGAGGATTGCATTGGGAGAACAATTTACCAGGTTTTCTGGCCTTACTGTTGTATTGCCGAATATTGAAAATCTGGTTCTGGCCGCTGCGGGGCATGTACACAGGATGTGTTTCGCCGTTTCATCCTCCTCCATACATAGGCGGCACTCTGCATCTTGTGCAAGTCCGATTTTGTGCATGTGGTATTTGAGTTTGCAGTGGCCAGTGAGCAACCCTACTATAACTCTGAGATCTGCTCTGCTGAGTTCTAGTAGTTTGTCAGTGTCCTGTTTGTTCCTTGTACCAGCAATAAATGCTTTGGAATGGGCTAGGCCCGGTAGACTGCGCCAGTACTCGAGTCTTTTCTTATCTGCCCAGGATGTTATAGCATTCTTGGCAGTGCTATATGCTATACCGATGATCGGTTCTGGCCCAGTGAACGGTGTTTCGGCCCCCCCTTTTGCTAGGGCGTCCGCTATTTCGTTTCCTACTAGGCCCGTGTGACCTGGTATCCAAACTAGGTTCACGTTGTTACGTTCTGCTAGTTGGTTCAAGGTTTCTCTGCAGTTCCATACTGCTTTAGATTTAAAGCAGTTGGATTCAAGATCAACTAAGTAATGAATAAATTCATCATCATCAGCTTGTTTTTCCGTTTTGGGCCACAGTATATTGGATTATCTGGCTTCTGTTTTTGTACTAGATTATTGTTAATTGTATTGACGTACTAAATGTGCATGATTTGTACTAGAAAAGTAAGATCGTACTAAAAACGGCAACTCTGCATCAGCATCCCCCGAATCACATCAATGTTTATCAACTGCTCGCAGCTAACGAGTCCCGACTCCCCCCACTTCCCCCCATCAGTTTCCGCAACTCCCCTTTTGCCCTCGCCCTAATCGTCGGGCAGATCAAAACGGCGAAAAGTAAAACCGCCGATAAGGGCGCGAGCGTCAGCGTGTTCTGCTCGGATGAAGTGCATCCTCATTTATTTATGGTAATGGCTGGGCGTTTAAAAGTCTCCCCGATATGAATTCGAAAGAGGACCCTCGAACGTTCCCCAGACTGTCATCGTATCGCGGCAATTATCTTTTGCTTAAACGCGATCGCTCTTCGAGGAATTGTTTTTTCTAATGGATGAAGACTTCCGGGTATATCATCTTGGGGGAGAGAGTTGGCCCATCGATAAAAATGGTCATGACCCCACCATTTCAGTGCAATCATAATCCCCAAATAGAGAAAAACTCACACTGAGAAAAACTGGTTAATTAAAACGTCTAGTTGGTATTTTTTTAGTACCGATAATTGAAAATATTTGGAATTTTATTAACAATGACAACGTATCCTTATTTCCTACAAATGACTTTTCTATTTTTCGCCAATTATTTGTCATCAATAAAAATACTATTTGTGACAGAATTATCACAGTGTTGTCTATTCAGTCAATTAAAATTTCATATTGGGGTTAAAAAACCTCATTCTGGTGTTACTAACAACAGCTGACTATTTGCCACAACTGATAGCCCATTTATCGTAAAAGGTTTATTATTATTCATGGTAGAAATTGTTTAGCCATAACTACTAATTTTAGTTGTACTGCGTCGTTCGGGACCGCCTCGCTTATCTTCGGGACCCACCGGCAAAAATTGCATATCGCACGGTCGTCGAGCTTAGACAAAATAAATAAAATAATTGTCTAGTGTAGCCGGGAGCGTCGTGTTCTTGCTGGTTCACTGCTCTATGTGTTTTCAAATCACTGTTTCGTGTTTTTTTGCATTTCGCGCTGAGCCATTTGGCATTTGGTTGGCAAAATAATAATTCGCAGTTTACCATCGTTATCTGTGCGTCACTAGTTATCAGGTTTAGGTACTTATTCACAATTCAGTTCAGTTTACGACGGGCGACGGTGAGAAACGTCCAACCGACGTCACGTGTACACGGTGTATATTTATAATTCCCTCTCTTTTTGCTGAGCTGTGGCCTGTGGCACTTACGGTGTGTGGTGATATTCCTGTTCACGATTCCATTGGAAATTGGAAGGAAAATGGTATACAAACTGTTATTATTAGAATGGGGCCTTGATTTTAATTGATATAAAACTATTAAGTTGCCAGAATAACTAAATTATATTTCAAACGTTACTAAATCACTTTTAATAGTAACTAGATTCCAGTTCAGTCACAATTAAATATTTAATTTGCAACAACTCACTCACTATTAACGTCAGAAGAAATGAGTAATTGCCCCAACTGGGATAATTTGTTGTGATAACAAACATATATTGAAATAGTACTAACAATCTAATTGTCATAACTATGTATCTTGATTGTGATAAATAAAACTTGGTATTATTCCTTAAAAAGGCTTATTAGTTACCACAACAACGTCGTAGATGACTCAACTAAACTTTTCATTAGAGGCAAATAGGCGTTTCCAGAAAAAACAGAATTAGTTATGGCAACAACTAATGCTTGCTATCCCCTATCGTACTAGAAAATTTTTCTGTAGTTACTAATTTTTTAGTAACGGCTACAATTTTTTTTCCTCAGTGCAGAGTCATTACCACAATAGTTCATAAAATAAACGAAAATGGTATAGATAACGAGAAAAAACAACTACTTTCCTGGCTATATGCCACGTAGAACATTGGATTACGTCCTCCCGAAATCTATATATGCAAAAATTCATATGTCTTGAGGGATGAAATCGCAAGTGTTTCCTTCCTAAACGCCGAGCTGCTGCGCCTAAATGGTTCAGGAACGCGTGACTACCTGCAGACCAGTTCCGAGCTGTTGGCTCTCATCAGTACAAGGCTGTCCCAGATAGCTTCTTGACCGCTATCTAGTGCGAACCTGACCCAACGTAAACGCATCTCAGCATTTATACACCACGAGGCGTTCATCGTCCGCGAAATGGACGCGAACGCCGAACGCCACCTCTGGCAAGGAAAGAAACATTCCAAAACAAGAACCCATTTCAGAAATGGAAGTGGCTGGTTGCCCGATTGGCGTATTTTCAACTAGGAAAAAGCCAAATACTCGAAGTGGAATGCAATGGTCACGAATAGAAAGAAACTCAAAGTCATTACTACAATAGTTCATATAATGAACAAAAATGGTATATTGATAACGAGAGAAACTGACATGAGTATTTGTATATCAGCATACGAACAAGAACTATACAAGAATGGGGAATGAGGAATTGAAACAAATAAGAAACACTTCTATCTCCATAGTTCATACTCGAAGTTGAGTCGTACCCATGAAATTGATTGGCGAATGTATGCAGTTAAAAGGTTTGAGACATGTTTCCACCATTCGAATGGTCATCATCAATCATAGATATCAAAAGTGAATCTACAATGGATGGAATATACTATACATCTTGCAAAAATCAACATTATGAGTGAGAAGTGACATGAAATTATATACTAATATCAAAATTTGGAACATGTGTTACTGACGATGTAACTGATAAACATAAAGAATCCCATTGAATATACTTAGTTATAAAAGGATATTAATTGAGTGAATCGTAACACTTTTGTTGCTATCAGATTCTGGATGTTCAACAGTTACACACACGATCTAGGTTTTGATAATTATGTATAATTTCATAATGGCGCTTTTCACTCATAATGCTGACCTTTGCAAGATGTTAAGTATAACTTTCATCCATCTAAGATTCACTTTTGGTACCAATCATTGATGATGACCATCTTAATGGTCGAAAATATCTCAAACCTTCTTGAAGCAGGATTAACTGCATATTTTCACCAATTGTTTTTGTGAGAACTTTTCTTTTTTAAAGACTAATTTTCCTTATCACGTTCGAAGTTCTTGAAATAAGAGCTATTTCATCCAATCAAGCAAATGATAGTTTTCTTATTCAGCATTATGTTAGGGGCATACCTACATTTGCATTCCAAAAAAAAAT